TTAATTAATTTTTTTAATATTTGATTTATTAAAAATATTTAAATAATTTTATAAAAAATTTTAACATTTTAATTATGAAGACATTTTAATTTTTCACAATTCTAATTTTATATCCTATAAATTTAAATTTAAGATCACTACATAGTGGAGGAAAATTAAAGTACCCCCTGCTGCCGTATAAGGCCATCAATTCGTTAGTTAGACATATTAATTAATCCCTTAACAACGTGGGTTTAGGGGTGACAATTTCTCTCGATCTTTGCAGGGTCTTGTGGGAATCCCCGTCACGGGAATGGGACAGAAAGGAATATTTTTCTTTGCGGGATGGGGATGGGGGACATTTTCTTCCCGTAAAATTTCGTGAGGAATTTTCCTCACCTTGCGAAAAATTAAAAAAAAAATGTATTTTAAATTTAATTTAATATTTAAAATAAAACCTAAACCTAACTCAAACCCAATTCAATAAAAATTAAATTTTACCAAACCCAACCTAACCCAATCCAACCCAACCCAAATATCCAACCCAACCTGCCAACCCATTCGGCCAACCCAACAATCCAGCATCCTCCTTACAAGTTCCAACCCTAATTAATCCCCCTTCCAACCCTAATTTCATAACTTTATTCATTTCCCCTCCCTTTCTCCTCACTCACGCACGCAGCCACAGCCCCTTACTCACTCTTGGTTTCAGCCGGACAATCAAGCTCTCAAGTCTCACCTCACCTTCAACCTTCCTCTCCCCTTCTTGCTGCTACAGATCTACTGCAAATCTGCTGTTGAAGCTGCTACAAATATGCTGCTGGAGCTGTTACAGATCTGCTCATGGAGCTGTTGTCAAAGCTGTTAGCTGTAGCCTGCAGATCTGCTGGAGTTCATCCTGCTGACTGCTGAACTCTGTCTCTACGCTTGCTGCCTGTGCCGAACTCCCTCTCTGCTTGCTGCTTGTGCCGGACTTGCTCTCTGCTGCTTGTTGCACTGTGCCGGACTTGCTCTCTGCTTGCTGCACTGTGCCGGACTTGCTGCTTGTGCAGGACTCCCTCTCTGCTTGCTGCACTATGCCGAACTTACTCTCTGCTTGTTGCACTGTGCCGAACTTGCTCTCTGCTTGCTGTATTGTGCCGGACTTACTACCTGTGCCGGACTCCTTCTCTGCTTGTTGCACTGTGCCGGACTTGCTCTCTAGTTGCTGCACTGTGCCGGACCCCTCTCTGCTTGCTGCACTACACCGGACTTGCTCTCTGCTTGCTGCACTGTGCCGGACTTGCTCTCTGCTTGTTGCCCTATGCTGTGCCGGACTCCTTCTCTACTTGCACTCCTTTTTGGCATCCAACGGTAAGAAGTTTAATAATTTGATTATGGTTGAATTAACATAGGGAAAGTTTGGATTTGCTAGAATTTACTAGATTTAATGGCTGCTCATAGTTGTTTATATTAGTGAATTGCCTAGTTAATTTTTTTACATATAGCCATATACTGATATACATATAATATAGAAAAGTTTAAAATTTATTTTATAATGACTTATTTGGTATGAAAATTTATTTTATATTTCAGTGGAAAAGCATAATTGTTTTTATAAAATTTATTTTTAGGTGATAAATGCCTAACACACAAGAGCAAAGTGCTAAGGGATCATTGCAAGCTCCACCACCAATTCAAATTCCTAATGAATCAAGTGGTAATTTTATGGCAAGCCCAGGTCCTCTGACAACACCAATACCAACTTCATCTTTTGCTATGCCTCCTATTGTAATAGAAGAAGAAGAAGGTGTTAATGAAAATGAGAAGGTTGGCCATACACGAGCATTGACTTCGAAGGCATGGGAGTCTTTTAAGAGACAAAAAGTTAATGGCACATGGAAAGCAATATGCATCTATTGTAGCAAAATGCTTGGTGGTGAAACTAGGAATGGAACAAAACATTTGCACGATCACTTAAAGGCTTGCCCATTGGAATGTACTGCTGATATAAGGCAAACTTTTTTGAAGGCTTCAAGGAATAATGAAGGGAAATCAGAACTTACTACTGCTGTTTTTAATAATGAGAATGCAAGAAAGGAACTTGCCTGCATGATTGCTTTACATGAGTATCCTTTATCAATTGTGGAGCATATTGGATTTAGAAGGTTCGTTGCTACCCTTCAACCAAGATTCAAGATGATTTCAAGGAATACAATCAAGAAGGATATTATCAACATATATCAGCAAGAAAAATCCAGAAAAATGAAGCTGTTGGAGGAAAATCAAAGTAGAATTGCCATCACAACTGACATGTGGACTTCTAATCAAAAGAGAGGTTATATGGTCGTCACAGCGCATTACCTTGATGGTTCATGGGCTTTGCAAAGTCAAATTATAAGGTAATATTTTAATTATTAAGTATTTTATATGTTTAATTATTATTTAAATTATTGTTCTAATTAATTTTAATAATTTTTTTTTCAGTTTTTTGTACGTTCCTTGTCCTCATATTGCTGAGATACTATCACAAACTTTGCTTGATTGTTTGATGGATTGGAATATTGATAGGAAGTTGTTTGCTATCACAGTAGATAATTGTTCTACTAATGATGTCATGATTGATATGTTGTTAGGAAAACTTTCTAGTGATTTATTATGGCTAGAAGGTAGCTTGATCCACATGCGTTGTTCTGCTCATATTTTAAACTTGATTGTTAAGGATGAGTTGGAGGTAATAGGAGATGGCATTGAGAGGGTTCGAGATAGTGTTGCTTATTGGGTAGCAATGGCAAAAAGGGAGGAAAAATTTAAAGAAACTGCTAGACAATTAAAATTTTCAGTTTTAAAAAAGTTGTGCCTTGATTGCAAAACTAGATGGAATTCAACTTACTTAATGCTTGATGTGGCTTTGCATTACAAAGATGTATTCTTTCGTTTGAAACAAAGAGAGTCAAAATATAGATGTTTGCCACTTGAGGAGGATTGGGTAATGGCAAAGCAAATTTGTGAAAAGTTGGTTATGTTTTATGAAATCATTGAAAAGTTCTCAGGGAATAAATATCCCATAGCTAATATTTTATTCCCTAATATTTGTGAAATTAAGATTGCATTAATGAGTTGGTTAACTTGTGGGAATATTGTGATAGAAGCAATGGCAGCATCAATGTTGGAAAAATTTGACAAATATTGGAGTGAGGTTCATGGAATTATGGTTATAGCAACTGTTTTGGATCCTAGATACAAAATGCAGTTGGTGGAATTTTATTTTTTAGAAATTTATGAAGATAAAACTCAAGAGGAAATGCAAAAAGTTATGAAACTTTGTTATGACTTAGGTGATAGATATCAATTTAAGTCTAACCAAAATGAGAAAATTAGGTCAACAACTAGATATATTCCATTGATGGCCTCCTCTTCAAGTGTTAACAAGGCTGACTTTGTTCACAAATTCAAGTCATTCCTTTCTTCTAAAGGTAATACTCCAATTGTGAAATCTGAGTTTGATACATATTTGGAAGAATCAGTGGTTCCAATTGAAACAGAAAACAGTTTTGATATTTTGGGTTGGTGGAAGGTTACTGGGATTCGGTTTCCTACATTACAAATGCTTTCTAAAGATGTCTTTGCCATTCCCATATCCACTGTTGCTTCAGAATCGGTTTTTAGTACTGGTGGAAGAGTTGTTAGCTCACATCGTAGCAAGCTTAATCCATATACAATAGAAGCATTGATGTGTCTTCAAGATTGGTTAAGAACAGATCTCAAAGGTATTAAGTTTATGTTTCTCTTATTTTTTTTATGTATATTTTTTTTGTTTTTTAATTAAGTAGTTAATTTTTAATTTAAATTTTCATATTTGAAATAGGTTCTTTGGATGATATATGTTTCTTTACTCAAAATGAGGATGTGGATTGTGATGAAGACAATAATTCAGAGGTAAATATGCATGACCC